GGTAACATTGCAGACCCTTGGGCCCAATGTAGGTATCATTTGTATACTTGGATCCCTTTGGCCCTATGGTCAGTAATATGGCAGTTTCCATGTTCAGTTCTTTTCCGTTCCTGCATTCCCTATACTCTTGTAGTAGCCACCCAGGCTAGTCCTAAATCCTAAATCCTAGATATCCGCATAAACGCCAGTTGCCATGTCATGTTCCATTCACTTGTCCACGTGATTCTGCGTTCCCTACCAACAGCCAGCAACTGGATCAATGTTAGGGATCCTTTATACCTTTTGGGGTATGGGATTCCTTATAATTATTTATGTAAAAAGGGTCCTTTTTCTTCCTAGGGTAATGTGGGCTAAGGCAAGTAATACCTCTGCAGCCATTTCGGCAACAGCGGTTTGTTTTGGCTGGACTTCCCGACGCCATCTCGCCACCTTGGGCAGCCTGCAGAAATAGTATACATCTGAACCCAAACCGGATTCTTTTGTCGGTGGTTTAGGCCCCTACTGGAAAGTTGCCGCGCAGCCTGGTTCAAAACAGGCCCCTTAGGATAGCGTGGGTTCAGGGTTTAGTGTTTTGGATTTAGGATTTTGGCTTTAGGGCTCTGGGATTGGCCTGGAAGAAGTTGTGGTAGCGGTGAGTCTGTGGGAAGCTGTCAGGATCTGACAGCAGAGGGGCCCTATAGATCCTTTGCAATTTGTATTTGTAGCCGCATTTACCAAAAATGCCAAGTAGTAACAATCAGCCCCTGACTTGTATAGTAGGCATTGTGGCATAAAACCCCTAAATCCTAAAACCACAGCCCCAAAGGGCCCCAAACTGTAGAAAGTTGGGGTTGCAGATACACCCTAGTGCCCCAAAGCACGCGCAGATGTACCTAGATCTCCCAAATACTTGTCGCTCCAACTTTTGGGTGCAAGGTGGTTAGTAAAAGTGTTTGAGACATTTAGGGTTCAGGGCTTCATGTTTTTTACGTAGCGTCGGGCAGGCTTCTTCTTTTACCGCTTGCGCAGGGATGTCGGGTCGAAGTCTTCTCCCAACAGCTATGCGCGTGGCGCTGCTGCTGCTTTGCGGACTATTTGCTCCACGGTAGCACTACAACCTGCCATGGCCTTCTGAGGAAACCTAATTGATCAGTGCAATTCAGTGGTTACATTCCAATGTCACCCCTGCATGCGGCATGTTGAGCTCAGGCTTAGCCTGCATGTGGGATCAACACGACCAGCAGTTTTCAGTGCCAGACAGATTACACATCTTATATCCGACGTCCGACTTGCCTGATGCATGCCGTCATACATGGGGGCTCCAAAGATTAGGGCTCCTTTTTCGGGATCCTCATTGTAAGGCATACGCTCTTGAGGGGTATACGGTACGGGAAGGGCCCCTGCTTTTCGAGATGTTCACATGGGCAGCATTTTATTTTGTACGAGGGCAAAGAGTAGCATTACATCCAACTTTTGTATATTATATATATATACAAAAGTTAATCTTGCATCGTTCAACTTGGGTGCTGCCCCCCACCCAGCAACAGATGGATACTAAGTATAGAATACTTATATACAAGTAGCCTTTAATATTACCCCTATTGTAGACTGTTACTGGGTGGGGGCCATCCAGTTTCAAGCACCCAGGAAACGTTACTCACATGACCATAAGCTGGGTTCCTGTTAAGGAACATGAAGTAAGTTACCATAGGGTTTCCCCAATACACTGACTTAAACTAAGTTCCTCAAATCCCAAAAATACCACAGTTTCCATTCCATTTTCCATGTTCTTTTCCATTTGATTCTGCATTATACGGGGACAATATACCCTAAACCCTCATATAGGAACTTAAATCAAGTTCAACTAAGTTTGTAGGATGCTCAAACCGAAGCCAGAGAAAGCAGCTCAATTTTCACGCGCCCATGGAACTAATCAAATGCCGACGCTTCGTATCTAGTACTCTTCAGGGCTTTGTGCACGACAACTGCTGCGCACATAGAATCACGCCACCAGCAAGCTTAACCTGCGAGCAAGTACCACGTTACAGTATTTCGATGCCTGCTGCTGTAAAAGCAACCCAGTAAGGCGGAGCTAGCCAGTGCTGCGAACCGCAGTTGCAGTGACTCCACAGCGATGATGCCACTGGGATGTAGGGTTTAGGGTCTAGGGATTCAGGGTTTGGTTTTTGTGGTTTATGGTTTGGGATGCAGGGTTTGGGGTTTAGTGACAACGCCACTGGGTTTTGCAAAGCTGTTCCTCCTACTATCACCACTAGTCTTTACTAGCACCATAATAACTCTAACGCTTTTCAACACTCATGGTGCTAATATTAATGGCAATAATTGTCATAGCTGTAGTATTAATAGCAGTAATATAAAAATCTAGTCAGTATAACATAGATATTATTGTTACCAACTATGGCATTCTTAACAGTACTGTTATGTTCCCGATTGCTCCAACCCTGGCTACATGAGGAAGCCAACACGCAACCCAGGCAGCTGCAACGTGAACGTCGGCGCTTGCAAATGGAGCAGGCTTGGATGCAATCCTAGAGTAGTAGCAAGAACGCCAGCATTAATACCAATAATATTGATGATAACAAGAACAATAATATTATGGCAATCTTAAGATGCATGGTAGCAGGTGCAAAGTCAAACTGTCGACGTAGATGAAAATGGAAGAAATCAATTCCAGTCATTGTGTCTCTTCCGTGGTCCTATTTCTAGGGTCCCTGGACATCTTGTGTAAATCTTTGCGTGCTTCTTTTTGGATATGTCCGGGATGCTTCCTGCACATCTTTCCGTGGGTCTGCGACATTCGGTAGCTTCTCGTGCCTTCAGGTGGGAGCCCCACCGCAGGTGGACTGCGAAACTGCGGGCCTCTGGGATCCCAATCTGCCTGGGAACGACAGATGCTCTGGGAATGGAGCAGATGAAAACAGCGGCTGTCCCAATGACGGAGTCGCCGCACCAGGTGGGGGCAGAGAGGTTCCGGATTCCTGCTGGTTCGCTGGCAACACTCCCCAGGAAAATCCATGTCCGGGCCCTGGGGGTCCATGGGTAACTGGCAAGACGAACACCGGATCGAGCTTGGGCAATGTTTTCGCCTGTCTCGAGGAACTGCCTGCAGGAGTCTGTCCAACTGCTGTTTGCACCAAGACAGCGAATGACCCCCTCTTCTGCTACAACACCACTGGCATCAGCTGCACAAGCGAAAACATTGGTTCAGGGAACGACCGGGACTACATCATTACATGTCAACCCTGGACGCCGGGACAACCGTTTTGCTTCGTCAGCGGCGCGACAAACAACCAAGGCGTTGGACAAGATATCAGCAACTTCGCAATCCAGTGGGTGTGCTGCGACCAATCCACCGCCACCACCACCACCACCACCACCACCACCACCACCACCGCCACCACCGCCACCACAACCAC